TACAAATTTATTTAAGTAATGGTACTTGTTCTGAATTTGTGTTCCGTATACATCTGTAAAATGTTGATATTTATTGATGACCAGCGTTTCCTGGTCATTTTTTCACAAATATGAATACATATTAAAATGCATCATAAAACACAGTATTACAAGATATATCTCTTCGATCAAATACAATTAAAACAGTAATATTGAAATATAATCTTGATCAATCTTCATCAGTGAGGTTGAATGCATAGATATTACATGCTGACATCACAGGCACATATCGCGACTGAGAGAAATAATGCAATAATATGCTTAATATCTGTATATTAATCATGTTACCATGGTCTTTCTCCCAGTCGCAATATGTACCTGTGCTTACATAAATGTACTGTGTCCCTGAAGAAAATACTTTGCCATTTGTTCCAAAGACCCATCATCTGAATTTGAGGATGTGGTAGTGTGTTTATCCAATATGGAACTAATCTCCATAGCTGGTACCCGACTTCATCAATGACCCAGACCTTTGGACCTGCCATTATTTACCTTGTAATGTTTCCCTATAAACATTTCAAGTGCTGGCTCCATTACAGAGATATTGTCATGTTATGTAAGTGTGTATATTTTGATTTCAAAATTACAGCTAAGGCTGATCATTCAGAACAATAAAATGAGTTAAGAAATATATGACCAAAAGAATATGAATACAATGATTGTATTGAGCTAATGGTAGCTCTGTCTTATAAGAACAATGAACTAAGTAACTAACATATCATCCTCGATACTCCAGGGGTTTCGCTCACTTTTGCTCTCTACGCCCCTGGAATGTGTCAAAGTATAATCAAAAGCTCATGTGTGCGCCACCTTGTGGATGGCGACAAGAAGACTAGTTTGATCCTTTGATGTACATCAAATAATTTTCCGGTCGCGAATGGTTAAATTGACTGGCTTTCAAGTCGAGTGTTGCTCCCCTGTAATCTTCAAAGGACAGGTATCAGTCTAGCGATCGATCAGGTGTTTTTACCCGAGACCAATAAAATATCCAGCTGTATGCCTTAAATTCTGCTATGACATATTCCAGGGGTGCAGAGAGCAAAAGTGAGCGTAACCCCTGGAGTATCGAGGATGCTAACATATGTACATGTGTTGTTGTTAATAAATATATCTTGCACAAGGACCGAGCTACATAGGGTGAGTTAGTTTATATTTAGTTAATATGTACAAAAACATCGTGTAGAATATCTAACATCTACACATAGATTACATCCATACATCTGTCAAATCAACCGAGTCACAATTGACAAACCATCTCCGTCATGCACCTGTTATACCAACAGTTACATGCCCGTCAACCCACAAGTCACACCCATCAACCCACAAGTCACACCCGTCAACCATCAAGTCACACCCGTCAACCCATCATTCACACACCTGTCGCACAACTTATCATACACTTGTCAATCCTCTAGTCACACACCTGTCAATCCTCTTGTTACATACCTGTGTAACAATCAGTCACACACCTGTCAATCCTCTTGTTACATACCTGTGTAACAATCAGTCACACACCTGTCAATCCTCTTGTTACATACCTGTGTAACAATCAGTCACACACCTGTCAATCCTCTTGTTACATACCTGTGTAACAATCAGTCACACACCTGTCAATCCTCTTGTTACATACCTGTGTAACAATCAGTCACACACCTGTCAATCCTCTTGTTACATACCTGTGTAACAATCAGTCACACACCTGTCAATCCTCTTGTTACATACCTGTGTAACAATCAGTCACACACCTGTCAATCCTCTTGTTACATACCTGTGTAACAATCAATAACAAACCTATCAATCCTCCAGTCACGTGCATGTTAAACCATCAGTTCATATTTCTTTATTGTTTAACCTAACTGTTTAAAGATATAAGTGTAATTAGTTTTAATGTTTTCAAAGTCAATCCCAATATACATATCAACTAGCAGCTAATAAATCAACATGTTTTGTGCAATGCCTGATTTTTCCTAATTGTGAAATCTTTTGTATTTTTCAATTTTAATCATTTTAAGGCAGAGAAATATCATGGCTGAATATATTTCATTTTTAAAAAGTTCAAAATAAGATCTTTTAAACCAGTCACACCCATTTCAAACTACCGTTGTAACTCGCCTATCAAACCACATTCAAACACCAGTCAGACTTGCACAAAAACTCACATTTCTGCATTTCAATTCATTCACTTTTTACATCACAGCTATTACATTACTGGCATGCACAACTGTTACAAAATTAACATCATATAAAAAAATGAACAAATAAAGAGTTACATAATTCTTGCACTATGTCAATAAACCAGATAATGTGACAGTAAAGGACACAATGGATCCTGCAGAAGATACTGATGATCTACATGATTCCCTTGGCTAAATGATCAGTATTCTATAATTGAATGGATGAGGTATTAAGGACTTGTACAAAACATTATTTCATTAGCACACAGTGATCACCAGTTTGTCACTTAAGTGTTGATTTTACAAACTGGATAAACACCACATAACAGGTAGAGAGACCACCAGCGTGACGGTCAAGTTTGATCACACACTGGTCATATAGACATACATCATAACAAGTAGAGAGACCACCAGCGTGACGGTCAAGTTTGATCTCCCACACTGGTCATATAGACATACATCATAACAGGAAGAGAGACCACCAGCGTGAGAGTCAAGTTTGATCTCACACACTGGTCATATATAACAGGTAGAGAGACCACCAGCGTGACGGTCAAGGTTGATCTCACACACTGGTCATATAGACATACATCATCACAGGTAGAGAGACCACCAGCGTGACGGTCAAGTGTGATCTCACACTGGTCATATAGACATACATCATAACAGGGAGAGAGTGACCACCAGCGTGACGGTCAAGTTTGATCACCCACTGGTCATATAGACATACATCATAACAGGTAGAGAGAGACCACCAGCGTGACGGTCAAGTTTGATCTCACACGCTGGTCATATAGACATACATCATAACAGGTAGAGAGAACACCAGCGTGACGGTCAAGTTTGATCTCACACAGGTCATATAGACATACATCATAACAGGAAGAGAGACCACCAGCGTGACGGTCAAGTTTGATCTTACACACTGGTCATATAGACATACATCATAACAGGGAGAGAGTGACCACCAGCGTGACGGTCAAGTTTGATCGCACACAGTGGTCATATAGACATACATCATAACAGGAAGAGAGACCACCAGCGTGACGGTCAAGTTTGATCTCACACTGGTCATATAGACATACATCATAACAGGTAGAGAGTGACCACCAGCGTGACGGTCAAGTTTGATCACACACTGGTCATATAGACATACATCATAACAGGTAGAGAGACCACCAGCGTGACAGTCAAGTTTGATCTCACACACTGGTCATATATAACAGGTAGAGAGACCACCAGCGTGACGGTCAAGTTTGATCGCACACACTGGTCATATAGACATACATCATAACAGGTAGAGAGTGACCACCAGTGTTTCGGTCAAGTTTGCTCTCGTAGATGGGTTCTGTGGGAAAACACCACAACAGGTAGAGATTAACCACTAATGTTACAGTCAAGTTTGATCTCACAGACTGGTCCTATAGAAGGACACCACTACATATACAGAACGCCGACCTGTTTGATGATGAGGTGTTGTTCTCATACACTGCTCGTAAAAATAAACAAAATGTTGGTCCCCGGCTGATGAACTTTAACAGTTCGTTTTTCCTGTTGATGTGATTAGTATTACCGTACACAGTCTATCCCCTGTACATGTATACTCTAATATCAATAGCTGAGTGTGTGATAAACTGAAGGGAGATTAATAATGTCAGTTATACAACACAAAGTGAGTTTAACCACCAAATATTTCACAAAGAACTATCAAATTTTACGTTAAACATTATAATTAAATACTTCCTGTATTGAGGCCGACATCAACACAAGCACGCATTTACAAAATATGCATTATAACTAAAACTGTATGTAACGTGGCCCACACCAAACACATTTAAATCCTTGGGCTTTCAAACCAATTCTTCTGACTAGATTTTACGTTATATAGGGAGTACAACAACTGTTTTACAATACACTCGTCTCCTGTATCTACCTTTACAGGTACGGGCACCCCAAGTGTAATCCATACTACACCTTATTGCTTCCAAGTCCAACATTAGACTTATCACAGTTCTACATTACAAAAAGTTGTATATACTGTTTATACATAAATCATCAGAAATACAGGTTATCAAGTGGTATGCAATGTGAAGAAAGCTTCGTTTTGCAATTAAGTCAACATCTCTTGTTTTTATATAAATGCTAATAATAGTATAATGTTGTTAATCTTCTTTTTCAAATAATTATGATCTTATTATTTCTTAAATGTTTTTTGTCACAATTATAACAATATATATAAACAGTGTATACCAGAAGCATGAAGAATAAATAAATTACCAGGTAAATACATATAATGTTCTGTAAGGATAATGAAGTCTTTTAAAGACTTGATTTTTATTTTTACACATTCCAAACTAGTTACGCAAAAGTTGAGGTTTGCTGAATGGGCACAATGGTCTGAGATTGTGGCACATTTGGTGAGCAGTAAATTCAGCCATGCGAAACACAGCTTGATATTATTAGTCAGAGTAAATATAAACAAATCAAGATTTCAATAATCAAGGTGAAATATATAAATATTCACAAGATTTATGTTACAGTAAAATTAAAATTTCAGGTCAAGTATGATGACTTCTTCAGAATCCGTTGAGTCTATGTACTGTGCAAGCTAGGATTTCATGCTTCAGTCATTGGATAAAAAATTAAATGTCATTTCATGTCTGCAATTCTACAAAATCACAGATGGGAGCATTACAGGTATAAAACCATTAACACAAAGTCCTGTTAGATGAGGGTGTCTACACGGAGAATATACAGCATGTTGTAGTATCTATGGTCTACCACCAAGGTCGTGTGTCCTACAGGCTCATCACTTTGTAATAACCTTCTTCCTACGGGCAGACAGCATATCATAGAACGGATTCTCACTTATACTGGCCCTGCAAGCAAATGTTGTAAAAGTTAGCAGTGGTTAATATGAAATTTGATAAATTACACAACTTTCAATTTCTGTATCCCCCCCTCTCACCAGCAATCTCACTATAAAGGCAGGGAGGGGGGCAGTAAAAATACTATTTATACGTCCATCTGTTCGTTAGTAGGTATATACGTCCATTGTCATGTCTGACCTATAGCTCTGAGTATCTACAGACGTTGTTTAGAAGCTTTTCAGATATGTGCTCTGTCATGTAACACTCTAGGTATCTACCCAAAAGAACAAGCGAGGAGTTAAAGCAAATATATGCTTGTCATGGCCGTACTTTTGATCACCTAAAATGAAATTTCACAAATGTGTGTGTGTTAAGATGGTATCGCTTAACACTTCTGGCAGTGTTCCTAAGGTCAGCTAAATCATTGCAAGTGGTCAAAGGTCAAATCAAGTTCGACTTTGGTAAGATTTTTTGATGAAGTTCCATAAACTTTCCCATCATGGCTAGGTGGCACATCCTGTCACATTCCCAAACCCAAGTCTACAACGTATCAAAGGGTCAAATGTCAAGTTACAATTGTCAGGAGGGTCACTTATGATAACCTCAATTTCTTTGCTGTGAAACATGAAACTGTATCATGACTAGATGACATATTGTCACTCTCACGTCTGTACACCAAAAGGTCAAGGTCAAGACAAAAGTTCAAAGTTCAAAGGTAATATAGCATTACAAGTGAAACAAATCTCCTCGCATTCAGACATCGTGTGACATATGTATGAGGAAATGAACAGAAAATTAAATGATTTATCAGTATCAGCTCTAGCAACTGCATTCTTCGATGGGTAATAGATTTTTATTCCGTTCAGTAATGAAGTCGGTAGAGCGATAAAGTTTTTCTGAAAATAGTAAGTGACCTTAACCTTCAACATAGAAACCCGAAACACAAACTTGTTCAAGGTTGTTTAATACTAGGTCATAGATGTGCGAGAGTCTATGATCCCCCTTATCTCGATTTAGAACTGTCCCACTGCGATAACTCCCAAGGAACTGGACAGAGAGAGCAACCTGTTCAAGTGGCAGATAAAGGAAGCAGTCTGGATATGCCGCATTGGGCCAGTTCTAAATCAAGATGAAGGGGCCCATAGGCTCTTGCATATCTATGACCAAGTATTAAACAAAGCGTAGCTGAATTGAGTCATTTCGGTACATATATAACAACTTATTGTACATACGCTTACAGCGTAGCGGAATTGACATTGATTTGTGGACAACTCGTACATATTTTACATCTTTGTGTACATACGCTACACTGGTCATTTGTCTGATGAGATGACAGAGTATCACCGTACTAGTCATCGAAACGTCAAATATAAACACTTTTTGGTTGTGCTACATGAATCATTTCACAATCAGTTATCAGTAGTTATTTTTGAGATCAACACCTAGCAATCATTTTACAAAACTTGTAACCTGATGAATATCCTACTCTAAATAGTTGAGAGGTTACAGTAATAGTACTGACCTGATACACCGGATCCACTCGTCCTGGTCATCAGCTGTTGCCGATGACATCCGGTACACATTGTGTTTGCCTATGTGATAAATAACATATCAGTTTACCTATGAAGCCAATATGACAACACCTGTTCTGAATCCAAAGCTAACCAATCAGACAGCAGTACAGATCACATTTACCAGTGACTTACGTATTTCCGACAACAATCAGTCCTACTTTTTCTGAATTAAGCCATTTTTCATGTATAAAGGCAATAAATATGAGAAATTAGTTCTTAAAGTGACAAAGGCATCATTTTAATCTATGTAAAATTGATCAAAACTTAATCAAAAGTAAAATATATGATATGGTTTATTGGCCTACTGACCTTCCACAACCTTGCCTTCCCTGTCCACTTTACAAGCCTTAATGATGTCGTTACTTGCAGCATACAATTCAAACGCATTAGGTTTGGACGACTTCTCTGAAGGAACCACTCTTACTTGTATGTTCTCCAATGGTATAATCCCCTTTGGTTCTTTGTCCTGTTAGAAATAATGTCACTAGTGTACAAAAATATATAAAGCTGACTTTGTTTAGATAAAGACAGACTGCCTCCCAGGTACAGACTGGATGAAGTAGACTTTGTCTGGATCAAGACAGATAAGTTTGTTTAGACAAAGACAAATTGTCACCTAGCTAGGCCTGTGTATAGAAGAATACAGGGAGCCAACTTTGTCCATTCTGAGACAAAAAATAGGTGAGTTTGGCTGAGTGGTCATCACTCTGGTAATTTATGCAGACACCTTGGGGAAATTAGAATGTTCTTTTGAATCATTTTAACCCTTTCACCCCTAGGTAACTGTAGTAGATTCTACCATACATTCATCTGGACGAGTCCATTATGGTATACAGTGGTGAAAGGGTTAAAATAAAGAAATTAAACATGTTGAATTTCCTTCTGTATTAAATATGTATTATTTTAATATATTCCTATTATATATATTCACCTCCTGTGAGAAAAACATTAAACTGATCTAGCTTCATTTTCTGGTTCAGTTTACTTTTCAAAATGGCTGCCAATAAACAAGCTGTCAGAGTTGATGTAATTTTCAATGTGAGTAGCCAATGACAGACATAATTACTGCCAAGCTCCTTTTGATATCCGCAACTTTTAACATCTACGGTGGTAAGCGGTCAGTTAACTTGGTCACTGTATAATAAGTCTGGGGCCAGAATGGGGGTGGTGAGCGAAAATCACTGGAAGTATTTTATTATTACAGATATATTCTAACACAATTATCAGAAGATGAAAATAAATAGGAGACGGAAAGGAATTACAGGTTTTTGATCATTGCCCAGATTTCTGGGAGAAATCAAATGTATATGTACGAAATATTTAAGGCTAACTTTGTCCAGTCAATTGTACATAATACCTAAAGATCCGACCATTACCTCACCATGACACGCTAGAGTAACTTACAGTTGTGAACTGGAAGTAGTAGAGGCAGTTATCGTTAAGGATGAACCATCTTCTTTTCCAGCTTCTGTATCGACCACCTACAACACAAAATATATTAAAGAATGACATTGTCACCATAATTCAGTAATACCAGATCCATAACCCTACGAAGGATGTCATATCAACTACAATGTATACATAATTACTTAACACATGTACAAAAATTGGTTCCCATCTAGTTTGTAACATTATCCTGCTGATAAATTTGAATATTAACTGGTTGCCTTATGAAATTTAAACTTTTTGTTGATCTACTTTGAAAGTAAAAAGTAGTATCTACTAAGAAAGTTGTCAACAAATGTTTTATTTTCCCCTTGCTGAGCCTAAACATGATATAAAACATAAAGCATGCACCTGACTATACGGTTATAAACTTAACCACACAATGTACCATTTATCTGGGTATCGTAATTTTTAAATGATTTGTATTTTTCGAGACTTAGTTAGAATATTTACCAGGTAAGCACTATTTTGTAAATCATACTTATCAATATTTAAAAGTATATACACTGTTTATAAATGAATCATATCAATATTTACCAGGTTAAACACTGTTTATAAATGATTCCTATCAATATTTACCAGGTTAAACACTGTTTATAAATGATTCCTATCAATATTTACCAGGTTAAACACTGTTTATAAATGATTCCCATCAATATTTACCAGGTTAAACAATGTTTGTAAATGATAAATGTCAATATTTACCACATTAAACAATGTTTGTTAATGATACCTGTCAATATTTACCAGGTTAAACATTGTTTATAAAGATTCCTATCAATATTTACCAGGTTAAACACTGTTTATAAATGATTCCTATCAATATTTACCAGGTTAAACATTGTTTGTAAATGATACCTGTCAATATTTACCAGGTTAAACCTTGTTTGTAAATGATACCTGTCAATATTTAGCAGGTTAAACATTGTTTGTAAATGATACCTGTCAATATTTACTAGGTTAAACATTGTTTGTAAATGATACCTGTCAATATTTACTAGGTTAAACATTGTTTGTAAATGATACCTGTCAATATTTACTAGGTTAAACATTGTTTGTAAATGATACCTGTCAATATTTACTAGGTTAAACATTGTTTGTAAATGATACCTGTCAATATTTACCAGGTTAAACATTGTTTGTAAATGATACCTGTCAATATTTACCAGGTTAAACACTAGTTGTAAGTGATTCCTATCACCTGGATTGAATACCTTGCCAGGTAAAATGTATGTGACTTCTATTATTTGATATGAAGATCTACAATGTCATAATTTGTCAAACAAGGATTATATCAAATTTTACAGCCTTTATTGTAAGTATCTATGTTTGATGAGTGACTGATTAGACATGAGAGTGAGGCTAGACTACGATGTCACAGCATGCATTGGTGTACGGTCCTGCTGCTAACCCGTATCGTGTTTATGTTTAATGACAGGAAGTCTATCCCTGGACGCTTTACTGACAAATCTATTCAGATCATATCTTTATTTGCTGGTTTTTGCATTATAAAATGTCACTGATAATTTCAGTGTGATGACTTTTACATCAGAAGAGGTCCTGATCACCAATAATATACATAATAATGCTATACAGGTTATCTTTGTTAAGGTGACGGCAGTGTTAATTAAAGAAGATTAACTTATTTGAAGCCTTTCAACCTGACAAACCACAGAGGGTGCCAGCAGAGAGTAGACAGGGGACAAGGGGAGGCTATCTAGGCTGTGTCCCTGTAACTGTATAAGCAGTGATACACTTGATGGAAGCCATTTACATGCACATACCCAATTATTTAGGTCAGATATATAGATTTCAGACTCTCACATAAACTTCAGAAATCAAAGTCATTCAATGTTCTAAAGAGATATTAGGTATATCCACACAACAGCTAGGAAACTGTTTAATATACATTTTGGTCTTTGCTACTTTTATTGCTCATATTTAGGTTAGGTCGGATTTATCATATGTGTATACAAGAAGTCTACATATTTTGAAGTATGTACTTTCCAGCTATGTATTATAGTACCAACTGTCCAGCTATGTATTATAGTACCAACTGTCCAGCTATGTATTATAGTACCAACTGTCCAGCTATGTATTATAGTACCAACTGTCCAGCTATGTATTATAGTACCAACTGTCCAGCTATGTATTATAGTACCAACTGTCCAGCTATGTATTATAGTACCAACTGTCCAGCTATGTATTATAGTACCAACTGTCCAGCTATGTATTATAGTACCAACTGTCCAGCTATGTATTATAGTACCAACTGTCCAGCTATGTATTATAGTACCAACTGTCCAGCTATGTATTATAGTACCAACTGTCCAGCTATGTATTATAGTACCAACTGTCCAGCTATGTATTATAGTACCAACTGTCCAGCTATGTATTATAGTACCAACTGTCCAGCTATGTATTATAGTACCAACTGTCCAGCTATGTATTATAGTACCAACTGTCCAGCTATGTATTATAGTACCAACTGTCCAGCTATGTATTATAGTACCAACTGTCCAGCTATGTATTATAGTACCAACTGTCCAGCTATGTATTATAGTACCAACTGTCCAGCTATGTATTATAGTACCAACTGTCCAGCTATGTATTATAGTACCAACTGTCCAGCTATGTATTATAGTACCAACTGTCCAGCTATGTATTATAGTACCAACTGTCCAGCTATGTATTATAGTACCAACTGTCCAGCTATGTATTATAGTACCAACTGTCCAGCTATGTATTATAGTACCAACTGTCCAGCTATGTATTATAGTACCAACTGTCCAGCTATGTATTATAGTACCAACTGTCCAGCTATGTTTTATAGTACCAACTGTCCAGCTATGTATTATAGTACCAACTGTCCAGCTATGTATTATAGTACCAACTGTCCAGCTATGTATTATAGTACCAACTGTCCAGCTATGTATTATAGTACCAACTGTCCAGCTATGTATTATAGTACCAACTGTCCAGCTATGTATTATAGTACCAACTGTCCAGCTATGTATTATAGTACCAACTGTCCAGCTATGTATTATAGTACCAACTGTCCAGCTATGTATTATAGTACCAACTGTCCAGCTATGTATTATAGTACCAACTGTCCAGCTATGTATTATAGTACCAACTGTCCAGCTATGTATTATAGTACCAACTGTCCAGCTATGTATTATAGTACCAACTGTCCAGCTATGTATTATAGTACCAACTGTCCAGCTATGTATTATAGTACCAACTGTCCAGCTATGTATTATAGTACCAACTGTCCAGCTATGTATTATAGTACCAACTGTCCAGCTATGTTTTATAGTACCAACTGTCCAGCTATGTATTATAGTACCAACTGTCCAGCTATGTATTATAGTACCAACTGTCCAGCTATGTATTATAGTACCAACTGTCCAGCTATGTATTATAGTACCAACTGTCCAGCTATGTATTATAGTACCAACTGTCCAGCTATGTATTATAGTACCAACTGTCCAGCTATGTATTATAGTACCAACTGTCCAGCTATGTATTATAGTACCAACTGTCCAGCTATGTATTATAGTACCAACTGTCCAGCTATGTATTATAGTACCAACTGTCCAGCTATGTATTATAGTACCAACTGTCCAGCTATGTATTATAGTACCAACTGTCCAGCTATGTATTATAGTACCAACTGTCCAGCTATGTATTATAGTACCAACTGTCCAGCTATGTATTATAGTACCAACTGTCCAGCTATGTATTATAGTACCAACTGTCCAGCTATGTATTATAGTACCAACTGTCCAGCTATGTATTATAGTACCAACTGTCCAGCTATGTATTATAGTACCAACTGTCCAGCTATGTATTATAGTACCAACTGTCCAGCTATGTATTATAGTACCAACTGTCCAGCTATGTTTTATAGTACGAACTGTCCAGCTATGTTTTATAGTACGAACTGTCTAGCTATGTATTATAGTACCAACTGTCCAGCTATGTATTATAGTACCAAATGTATAAAGTATATGGTGTTACTAAGACAGTTATAAGAAGTCATGTACAATCAACTACAGAGTTTGTTAGCCAAACCCTTATTATCTATGAAACGTTGAAATATTTCAAAAGTGCCCCTGGCTGTAGAATGAAAGTTTCAGTAGAAAAAGTATTTAAAAGTATTGTATGGAACTAAGGCAGGTTTCTATTGTAGTTTATTGCAGTTACAACTTCGACCATTCTAAGGTGCTACATTGTGGTCTATTAAGGACAGTTTGATTCTGTGCTTTCATCATTGGATACAATTGTTTTCAAGTTGGACGTATTGTCCAGTTTCATAAAGTGCACTGGAGAATTCAATGCTGATCCTAAAAATCTGCGTAGGCACTTGTCTCAAACATATCAATTCTTGAGCTTACCTCAATGTTGAGTTAGGTGATACAAGTTGGGCCTGGTGTGATTTAGAAAAAGGTAAGGGGACCTATAGCACTGTGTTGATCTGACAGTCATGTACACTGCAGACACAATGTTCTATGTCCAAAGCAGTACTAATTGTAGATTGGAAGGCATAAAACAAACAGGTTTTTTAACGACACTTGATATGTTGTGTTTATAAAAGTAAATATATATCACTATTAATATAATAAAAATACATATATACCGAGTGGATTCTAGGGGTGATCCAGTAGGACAGTAAGGAAAATATACCCATATAACAAAACCAAGAAGATAAGGACAACAGATTTGTATGATTTTACAGATGATAAGTAAATTTGCGCTATAGAGAGAGATTGGTTGGAATTGCACGTTAAGACACTTAACGTTAAACCCACAAAATCCAGGATGATATGTGAAAGATACTCTGCAATGCCAGATCTACAATAGGGAATAACAGTAGGCAAAAGCTTTCTGATTCCACGCACTGGATGTTTGTGTGTTACATTACCGCTAAAAAGCTTGTAATTAACAGCCAAATTTTACCAAACAAAGCTGGTCCATACCCTATATCTTTAACTTTGTTTGCAGACAAGGAGGTTGGATGGTTGTGTTCCTTAAATAATTCTAATTAATCGTACAAAACTGTGTATCCTTTAGCTTATCAGAGTTTACTTTCTATCTGGTTAGGTAAGGTGATTAACGTGGTGACTCAGCAATGTCTACAAAACATTTATTTTACAACCAAACCTTAGTGATCATAATTAGATTATCAGTTAGAATTCAATGACTTCTTTTACAGGATTAATTAATTAGCCATTATTTATTATTTTTTGTTTGTTTTCAGCATCAACAATTAATAAGAATGTTGTTTGCGTATTATCATAGCTGTTAAATATGACAATAGATAGTTAACCACCACCATTACCACACAACAAGTGCCAAGTACTGCTCTACAGGTGCTCATTACTCGGGTTAAGTTGTACACCATGTAACCATGGCCACAGGATGGCTCATCTAGTTGCCATGGTAACGAAGGAGATTTAGTATCTGATTGGCTCAATTGATGATATGCATGCAGGAAAACAGTTTTCACTAGTCTCTACTATGTAAACAACAAAAAGCGCTTCATCCGCAACATTAAATCAAAACGATAGATTTATCAGCAAAATATCAATAAAAATAAAGCCTGCTGGTAATGAATAATGTTATTTAAATGTTAATGACTTTTATTATTTTGATGATGATGAAGGTTGTAAACAATTCGAGAAATATGTAAAACTAAAAAAAAGCCAAAAACTGGATTTTAAATGTTTACAGTTACATCAATATGGTTATCTTTTGATATTAAATGAACATTTTGTCTAATGAAAGTTAAAAAAATGTGTTTTCTTTCAATGTATATATTGGAACATATAACCATCTCAACCAGTTTGATGCATTGCAAACATTCTACAGCAGTAGCAATAAATCTCCAAGCACCAAAAAGCTTTTGCCGAAAAATGAACAGGTCAGGGTCGTATAACTGTAAACAAAGAATAACGAGCAGTAAACAATGACGCAAACAACGCCACACTTACTCAATTTTTTGGAAGCTCCTGTGTAAGGAAATACAGGGATACAAAATCACAACAGTGCAAATTGGAAAAAAAATCACATCAAAAAGAGAAAATATTTGACAACAAAAGATCTAAAAGTTTCACCCTATTTCATAAATGAAGTAAGAATTATCATAGTCATGCAAAATATTTCACATGCACACACATTCCTGTTCGACAACAATTTTATCCTACCCAATGTGTGGTTGTACACTAAACAACACTCCAGTAACAACTACACACAATATCCATTTCTATAGCATTTCATTATCTTGTAAACTTTACCCATAAAATCTTTCAATAGAACAAGACAATGGAAATATTAAAAGCTACAATTCAGTGACAACCACTACACTTTCACCCTGTCACAATACACATCTGTCATTAGTAATGAAATCTACCTCACTAAAATGTTCAGACGCTATATAAACCATGCTAACACTAATTACAACCCTACATATGACCAGAAGCAGAAAGATGTACTTATCCATGTCAGCCATACAACAACAAACAGGTACACACAATATACCTAAATCAGATCTCTCACTCCACCCTTAATTTGTTACACACACATCTGATGGATCCCCATTAGAATCGCCATTCTGATGTCCCATGGTCACTTATTCATCAGCTGATCTAATTTATTGATTTGATTGATTCCTGACCATAGAATGCTGAGGGTTTGCATAAAGTTTTATTGAAAAGTATTCAAGGGTCGTCAAACGGGCATCAATGCTGCCAATGCCAACAACATGGACAATTTGTGTTTTACAAAGTTTGTGTCAATTGTAGATAAATTCTTACAGAAATTAACCTTTTAGAAGATATGATTAAAATTACAATGAAAATATTTGACCAAGAAAGATAATGAGCAAGTTGTCGGTGAGCCATTTTGTAGCTGGGACAAAGGAATGTGTCTGAAGTGTATTTGGGTTGTGGAGGAGGAAGTGAAAGCAGATAGAGAGGCTTCTGAATCATACCTATTGTTTAAGAGAGTTATTGAAGGCAGATAGAGAGGCTTCTCAATCATACCTATTGTTTAACAGAGTTATTGAAGGCAGATAGAGAGGCTTCTCAATCATACTTATTGTTTAAGAGAGTTATTGAAGGCAGTAGAGAGGCTTCTCAATCATACCTATTGTTTAAGAGGGTTATTGAAGGCAGATAGAGAGGCTTCTCAATCATACCTATTGTTTAAGAGAGTTATTGAAGGCAAATAGAGAGGCTTCTCAATCATACCTAGTGTATAAGATGGTTATTGAAGGCAGATAGAGAGGCTTCTCAATCATACCTAGTGTATAAGAGGGTTATTGAAGGCAGATAGAGAGGCTTCTCAATCATACCTAGTGTTTAAGAGGGTTATTGAAGGCAGATAGAGAGGCTTCTCAAACATACCTAGTGTTTAAGAGAGTTATTGAAGGCAGATAGAGAGGCTTCTCAATCATAACTATTGTTTAACAGAGTTTTTGAAGGCAGACAGAGAGGCTTCTCAATCATACCTATTGTTTAAGAGAGTTAATGAAGGCAGATAGAGAGGCTTCTCAATCATATCTAGTGTTTAACAGAGTTAATGGAGGCAGATAGAGAGGCTTCTCAATCATACCTAGTGTTTAACAGAGTTATTGAAGGCAGATAGAGAGGCTTCTCAATCATATCTAGTGTTTAACAGAGTTAATGAAGGCAGATAGAGAGGCTTCTCAATCATACCTATTGTTTAACAGAGTTATTGAAGGCAGATTTTAATGAAAACATTAATATCCGTAACTTCTATAATTGCACCGTCCAATTAAACCCTTTGTCATCACCCCTTTGTTTTAATGATTCCAACATCTGAGGGAAAAGCAATCTGATTTGTAATAATTGATGACTAATATAATTCTGGTTAGAAAATATCATCAGAATGGCGTTTCCAACGAGAGTCTGTTACCTCTCCATGTAATGAAGTACAGCTGAACAAAGTGTGATGGGAGACCTGAACTATATTGTGGTAAACAGCCTGGACATGGTTCTAAGGAGATACCTTACAGAAGCTTGGAATAGTTCAGATCCTATCTAGAGTCAACATGCTGATTCTTTGTTTACAATGCCAAGTCTTGTGTAAAATAGCATGCCGCCAACTTGTCCTGTGACTGAAATTCCTCGACACAAGTTGGATTGATCCGTCTGGGTCACTACAGCCATGTTAGGCATTGTAAAGCCAGGGCAGGCCAGACTAGGGTTAGTACAGAGACAACTATTACACTGAAATTAGTCATTATCAAAATAGAAAGAACTTGTAATAGGGCAAAAAACTTTCAAAGCGAACCTATTGTATTTATATCCCAAAGCCAAATTGATTTAAACTAATATTTTCTCCCTCAAAAGCCATTACATTTTGAACTTATAGCTACTAGATTACAAAGTTAGCCAACAGAAAACCTGTTAGATTGAAGCCGATAAAAGTACTTGTTATGCATCACAGTCAATCAGACACTAGTTTGAACACCTTGTGCGACAGGAAAAGATAGTAAATAATGGCCCAGTCAAACACCTTGTGATGGGAATTGGAAAGCTAGGGTTATAAATTAATGTTACAAAAGTCATTCAAATTGAGATAAATACTGCTTTTTAATATCATATCATCAGCCAATGTCACCTCACTGCAAAACATTCTCGCATGGAGCAGATTTTTCAAAGAAGCAGAATGCAGCACAAAGGAGAGGAAGTGATTTTCTTAAGTTTGTTACAATTGATTATTATCAGTAGTTCAAAGAATGGCAATTGTATTTGCTGTTCAAAGTTCAACCTATAGCAAGTATGAAAGCTTGTCATTTTTAGCTAGCTAGTTATAGGACTGGATCATTGCATGCATATCTGCCAAGGGACAGTCAGACAGCTAGATATACTGGATCTACAGCATGGGTACTACTTGTCACAGACTAGCTAGCACTCGTTAACACTAACATAATAACAACAGTAGGGGGAGCCTTACATGGCCAACTATAGCTACATCTATAGGCTATAACCAGTGTGCCATGCCGTCACCCTCCCTTACACTGTCAGCACACAGCCCATCCTCTACTGGTTCTGTGGTCAAATCTCCTGTCTCCATGTCATGCTACCCAACCATAAATGACCACCACACAGACCATATGTGGTAGTCTCTTTGTCAAAACTAGGTGACAAGTATTTTATACAAGCCAATTGCACCACGTTTTGGATTAAACAGATGTGTGTTAGGCCTGAGTGTATACATAGAGACAAGTACATCTTACTACAAAACCGACTATTTAATACAATCGTGGTATGTGTTACCTTGTTTCCACAACCACCCCTCCTTGTCTGGGTTGAAGAATGTGTGCATGAGGTCATTTCCATCATCTTCTGGAATCTTAAACGGTTCCTTTTTGATGCTGTCATACAAACTCTGAAATATTCAGCAATGTATATATATTAGATAAAAGAAATGAATTACTGCTAAGAAGTTGTATGAATTTTCAATATTTGTTTTGCTTCAATTTGATGTATAATTATGTTGTTTTTAAATATGCAAAATAGCATAAGTTTCATATCCATTTTAGTACTTAGAATCAAAGAGGCCCTTTGGCTCAATGGTCACCTGCAGGGTACTATAATTAATTGTTGAGACGCGGTGTGGAATTAATCTTGTATACAAAGCAGGGTAGTCCATTACCCATCATAATTGTATTTATTGCATATCTATTTACTGTAAAGTGCTTTAGAGTGGCTTATGTTAGCTAGATAGGGTGCTATATCAAACGTTTTATATTTATTTTATTTATATTTATTATATCAGCAACAAAAACACCAAAAACCTCTTTAATGAATTATCTTATTGAGAAATCATTGTTTTGGTTAAATATGTAGTCCCAACCCCTAATGTTAATACCCAGGGGCATGAAAATAAATTCATATTGAGGACCCAAAAATCTCGATAATCATGGCTAAAATCTCTTTCCTAGTGCTTTTCAGAACAAGAGGCCCATATGGCCTGTATCCCTCAGCTGGATATCTAAGCAATCATGGCAAAATATTCTACAAATGATATCCAAGGGAATATGCCAAACCCCAAGGCCAATCCTTGTAGCATATCTGTATTAGATTTTTCATGCCCAGCACTTTTATATAAGGTTATTGGGTGGGGATCTCAACTGTTTCCAAGCTGTGACTCAGAAACTAGGTCCCTAGGGTTTTGGCAACCCCAGGATCAATTCTAATAAAATGACTGCATTTGTCTCTTTTTGCCCAGCATTTGTATATGTAGTTTGGGGGTGGGGATCTCAACCGTTTTAAAGTTATAGCCCAGGGACTATGTCTCCAAGGGTGGGACCAGGCCCTAGGGCCATCCTGGCAGCAAATGTGCATTCTTCTCTCTATACTCAGCAATTGTATATATGGTTATAGGGTGTGATCTCAACTGTTTCCAAGCTGTGACTAAGAAACTAGGTCCCTAGGGTTTTGGAAACCCCAGGATCAATTCTAATCAAATGACTGCATTTGTCTCTTTTTGCCCAGCATTTGTATATGTAGTTTGGGGGTGGGGATCTCAACCATTTTAAAGTTATAGCCCAGGGACTATGTCTCCAAGGGTGGGACCAGGCCCTAGGGCCATCCTGGAAGCAACTGTGCATTCTTCTCTTTATACTCAGCATTTGTATATATGGTTATAGGGTGGTGATGTCAATTGTTTACAAGCTGTGACTAAGAAACTAGGTCCCTAGGGTTTTGGAAACCCCAGGATCAATTCTAATAAAATGACTGCATTTGTCTCTTTTTGCCCAGCATTTGTATATGTAGTTTTGGGGTGGGGATCTCAACCATTTTAAAGTTATAGCCCAGGGACTATGTCTCCAAGGGTGGGACCAGACCCTAGGGCCATCCTGGAAGCAAATGTGCATTCTTCTCTTTATACTCAGCAATTGTATATATGGTGGGGATCTCAACCATTTCCAAGTAATAACCTTATTTTGGCCCCACCCCTTAGCTCCGGGGGTCAGCCCCACTATTTGTACAATTTTGAATCCCTGCCGCCCCATGAATGCTTTTGATTATATATGATTGATATCCAGTACATAGTTCTACAGAAGAAATCGTTTATAGCAATATAGCCAAATTGCCCCCTTTTGACCCTGCCCCTCAGCCCCCAGGGGGGGTCAGCCCCACCATTTGTACAATTTTGACTCCCCACCACCTAGGGATGCTTCCAGTCAAATATGTCTGATATCCATCTCTTTGTTCCAGAGAAGAAGTTGCTTAAAGCAATAAAGCCAAATTGCCCCCTTTTAGCCCCGCCCCTCAGCCCCCTGGGGGGTGAGCCCCACCGTTTGTACAATTTTGAATCCCCACCACTTAAGGATGCTTCCAGTCAAATTTAGTTTAATTCCAATCAGTGGTTAAGAAGAAGAAGTCGTTTAAAGAAATTGTTGACGGCCGGCCGGCCAAGGTGAGCTAATAAAGACACCAAAAAATATTATTTCCATATAAATCATTGCACTTGCCCACCTCCTCAAGGTTTGATTTTGACCTTGGGACCCTGAAATATGAACTCATTTTGAGATATTACATGACCTTTGAATAAGTTTGATGAAAGTCTGTGAAAATTGAAGTAGCGGGTAGGTAAAGTCACGACAATGAACCACAACGTGACGGGAAAGGATGGGATGGACATGACATCATATACCCCCATCCCAAGATGGCGAAGACCTACAAATTATGTTGTTAGAACAATGTCACTAACTGGTTGAACGGTAACAATGACCTTGGCCTTGACCTAGGAATCCTGAAATACCACCTTATCTGAGGTGTCCTTGTACTTAACATTTGCATAAACTTTTATCAAAATCAGTGATGAAATAATGTTGCTGGACAGATGACATTGAATGGGGATTGGACCATGACATGACAGGACTGTCATAGAACATCNCCCCCCCCCCCCCCCCGCCCCCCCCATAAAATGGCAAGTACATAAAAAATTGGTTTTATTGATTGCTAGTGGCCTACAGTTAGGAGGTCCTCGGGCAGGTTTCCACCATCGTTGATGCCCCTGTTCATCTGTATGAAGCGGTCGACAGTAGGTTTGTCTTTCACGCTGGGGTTGTGTAGACTGGTATTCAGCATGATAATGGCAAAGGACAGCACATAGCATGTGTCTACAAACATAGTTCATACTATTAACATACCACATACTACTGCTTTCAACATAAGTTTGTCATAAATCATATATTTTCATGATTTACATTTTTATTACATCTTATAACTTAAATGAAAACTTCTAGATGAATATCACTGTTAGAAAACGAATCTAGTCAGTTGCATAATCAAATTTTGATTTTTGTTTGTTTGTTTATTTAGGTTTTAAGTCCTATTAACAGCTATGGTCATTTAAGGACGTGCCAGGTAATGGTGGTGGAGGAAGCCGGAGTACCTGGTGAAAAAAACCACCACCTGCAGCAAGTACCTGACGACTGACCCACGTTGGCCTCAAACCCACGTCCCAGTGGTGGAAGGCTAGTGGTAGCAGAATGTCAGACACCTTAACCATTCGGCCACCGTGGCCCTCAAATTTTGAACAATTTTCATACAATGTATTAAATTTAATTAAATGATTCCTCCCTTTCTGTTCAGTTGATATAACTCAATACTGAAAGAAGACTAGTTAACATAAAACAGACTTGAGGCCTGGTTTATAATGAGGTAAGACTGAGTCATCGGGATATAAAACACACACTGGAATTCTTGTGTGCTGAAGGAAGTGGCACAGCCACCATATGCTATCATTTCCTTATTTAACAGGTTGTGTCAACTGGCATTAGTCATTTCTCTGCTAGTGTTCTGCCTAAAGCTATTTCATGTAATGTGCCATTCTCTAGACTTGATCTATTAACTATCTAGAAGTGGATATCTCAACATTTTTCAATAAAGGGATAATTTATCCAATATTATGATTATATCATGATTTATTATACTACTGAAATAACTCTATTTCAGGTCAAAATACTCAAACAACAGGCACAGCATATAAACATCATCTTTGTTTTTTACCTGAACTTGTGAATACATCTTGGTTTAATTCACAATATCTCTGTGCAAAACATTCCATCATTCTGTCAATTTTCTGGGCTTCCCCTGGCAAACGGAAACTCCACAGAAATTGCCTAAATAAGACCAACCCAATGTATCAGTACATATTTGATTACTTTACAAAACTACACAATGATTATATTTCAGACAGTGTACTGGGGCACAGATGCAGAAAACTGTTAAATCACCTTTAGTTATACATATCATGTCTGAAGTTATCGGAATATTTGTCACTGGTCACATAATTAAGATTTCTCATGTCTTAAGACCATGGCTAATATAAAATTTCTGATTCAATTGCTTTAAAAATCATGTTGAGTTGGTGGGTGATTTATTGACATAAACCATGAACACAATAATGTACTATATAAAATAACAACATATATTCTATCAGACTTTCACAATGTTATGAATTTATCTCACCTCAAAGCCTGAACCAGGATCATGTTTGAGAACTCATGTAAGTTCACAAAGTCCTTCAACACATTGATGTTAAATTCATGTCTGAAAGAAAAGAATATGGTGATATACTCTGCCAGAACATTATATTCCCCTAAATGATATTTTAGGGTGAACTTGGGGGCCAGTATAAGACCCCCTTCCCCAAGATAATTTCTGCTGTATTGTGAAACACTTTCTTTTCCAAAAATCTTGCTTTTTTGTGTGTGACATTACGTAGTCACAAGGCACGGACCCCTGTGGAAAACACTAGTAGGTAGAAAATTCACTGTCCCTCAACCTGTCCTAGACACTAAAGGAAAAGCTCATTCAATGATCCTACTCTATGTCAAAGAAACTATATTGGTTTATTGGTTTAACACGGGTCGTTACTTTTTAATGCCTCTGCTACAGATCAAACCAGGGCTTTCTGATAACTTATTCTTCCTAACAGAGTTGACAGGAGGGGACAGTATTTTACCATGGTGACATGGTCCTAAAGGCAGAAATCTTTAAATGACCCCTCCTCCATTTTCAATGTCTTATGGTATCAGCTCCGTCTTCAATGATCACTTGTCTGAAAACTTAGATAATAGAATGGTCCTAAAAGACGAGTTACTTTTATCCCCTAGCTATCGTCAAACATACTAGTATGGTTTAACTTCAATTATCCCCTATCTTATGTCCTATACACTAGTATGGTTTAACTTCAATTATCCCCTATCTTATGTCCTATACACTAGTATAGTTTAACTTCAATTATCCCCTATCTTATGTCCTACATACTAGTATGGTTTTACTTCAATTATCCCCTATCTTATGTCCTACATACTAGTATGGTTTTACTTCAACTATCCCCTATTTTATGTCCTATATACTAGTATGGTTTTACTTCAATTATCCCGTATCTTATGTCCTACCTACTAGTATGGTTTAACTTCAATTATCCCCTATCTTATGTCCTATACACTAGTATGGTTTTACTTCAATTATCCCCTAGCTATCTTATGTCCTACATACTAGTATGGTTTTACTTCAACTATCCCCTATCTTATGTCCTATATACTAGTATGGTTTTACTTCAATTATCCCCTATCTTATGTCCTATATACTAGTATGGTTTTACTTCAATTATCCCCTAGCTATCTTATGTCCTACATACTAGTATGGTTTTACTTCAATTATCCCCTATCTTATGTCCTATATACTAGTATGGTTTTACTTCAATTATCCCCTAGCTATCTTATGTCCTACATACTAGTATGGTTTTACTTCAATTATCCCCTATCTTATGTCCTATATACTAGTATGGTTTTACTTCAATTATCCCCTAGCTATCTTATGTCCTACATACTAGTATGGTTTTACTTCAATTATCCCCTATCTTATGTCCTATATACTAGTATGGTTTTACTTCAATTATCCCCTAGCTATCTTATGTCCTACATACTAGTATGGTTTTACTTCAATTATCCCCTATCTTATGTCCTATATACTAGTATGGTTTTACTTCAATTATCCCCTAGCTATCTTATGTCCTACATACTAGTATGGTTTTACTTCAATTATCCCCTATCTTATGTCCTATATACTAGTATGGTTTTACTTCAATTATCCCCTAGCTATCTTATGTCCTACATACTAGTATGGTTTTACTTCAATTATCCCCTATCTTATGTCCTATATACTAGTATGGTTTTACTTCAATTATCCCCTAGCTATCTTATGTCCTACATACTAGTATGGTTTTACTTCAATTATCCCCTATCTTATGTCCTATATACTAGTATGGTTTTACTTCAATTATCCCCTAGCTATCTTATGTCCTACATACTAGTATGGTTTTACTTCAATTATCCCCTATCTTATGTCCTATATACTAGTATGGTTTTACTTCAATTATCCCCTAGCTATCTTATGTCCTACATACTAGTATGGTTTTACTTCAATTATCCCCTATCTTATGTCCTATATACTAGTATGGTTTTACTTCAATTATCCCCTAGCTATCTTATGTCCTACATACTAGTATGGTTTTACTTCAATTATCCCCTATCTTATGTCCTATATACTAGTATGGTTTTACTTCAATTATCCCCTAGCTATCTTATGTCCTACATACTAGTATGGTTTTACTTCAATTATCCCCTATCTTATGTCCTATATACTAGTATGGTTTTACTTCAATTATCCCCTAGCTATCTTATGTCCTACATACTAGTATGGTTTTACTTCAATTATCCCCTATCTTATGTCCTATATACTAGTATGGTTTTACTTCAATTATCCCCTAGCTATCTTATGTCCTACATACTAGTATGGTTTTACTTCAATTATCCCCTATCTTATGTCCTATATACTAGTATGGTTTTACTTCAATTATCCCCTAGCTATCTTATGTCCTACATACTAGTATGGTTTTACTTCAATTATCCCCTATCTTATGTCCTATATACTAGTATGGTTTTACTTCAATTATCCCCTAGCTATCTTATGTCCTACATACTAGTATGGTTTTACTTCAATTATCCCCTATCTTATGTCCTATATACTAGTATGGTTTTACTTCAATTATCCCCTAGCTATCTTATGTCCTACATACTAGTATGGTTTTACTTCAATTATCCCCTATCTTATGTCCTATATACTAGTATGGTTTTACTTCAATTATCCCCTAGCTATCTTATGTCCTACATACTAGTATGGTTTTACTTCAATTATCCCCTATCTTATGTCCTATATACTAGTATGGTTTTACTTCAATTATCCCCTAGCTATCTTATGTCCTACATACTAGTATGGTTTTACTTCAATTATCCCCTATCTTATGTCCTATATACTAGTATGGTTTTACTTCAATTATCCCCTAGCTATCTTATGTCCTACATACTAGTATGGTTTTACTTCAATTATCCCCTATCTTATGTCCTATATACTAGTATGGTTTTACTTCAATTATCCCCTAGCTATCTTATGTCCTACATACTAGTATGGTTTTACTTCAATTATCCCCTATCTTATGTCCTATATACTAGTATGGTTTTACTTCAATTATCCCCTAGCTATCTTATGTCCTACATACTAGTATGGTTTTACTTCAATTATCCCCTATCTTATGTCCTATATACTAGTATGGTTTTACTTCAATTATCCCCTAGCTATCTTATGTCCTACATACTAGTATGGTTTTACTTCAATTATCCCCTATCTTATGTCCTATATACTAGTATGGTTTTACTTCAATTATCCCCTAGCTATCTTATGTCCTACATACTAGTATGGTTTTACTTCAATTATCCCCTATCTTATGTCCTATATACTAGTATGGTTTTACTTCAATTATCCCCTAGCTATCTTATGTCCTACATACTAGTATGGTTTTACTTCAATTATCCCCTATCTTATGTCCTATATACTAGTATGGTTTTACTTCAATTATCCCCTATCTTATGTCCTATATACTAGTATGGTTTTACTTCAATTATCCCCTATCTTATGTCCTATATATATTAATATGGTTTTACTTCAATTATCCCCTAGCTATCTTATGTCCTACATACTAGTATGGTTTTACTTCAATTATCCCTCTATCATATGTCCTATATACAATTATAGTTTTACTTAAATTATCCCCTAGCTCTCTTATGTCCTATATTCTAGTATGGTTTTACTTCAATTATCCCCTAGCGATCTTATGTCCTACATACTAGTATGGTTTTACTTCAATTATCCCTCTATCATATGTCCTATAGACAATTATAGTTTTACTTCAATTATCCCCTAGCTATCTTATGTCCTATATTCTAGTATGGTTTTACTTCAATTATCCCTTATCGTATGTCCTATATACTAGTATGGTTTCCCAGCTATCAGAGTTTTCAGTCCTACAGACTACATGTAGTATGGTCTGAGGTAATATTACAAGCATTTATCTTTTTCTCCCATATCCTTCTTACCGACATCTATGTCTTTGTGTAAAACATACAACCTAAAGCCCTTAAGTATCAAATGAACAGCCACTGAATTTCAATTTCATGGTACAAGACATTGGCTTTTTCCGACCTCCCTAATGAGGGTAAATATCTTATGACAGTATAACATTTATAATAATTACATGTGAAGGGTGAATTAAAACAAGGGGAATACAGATTTCCCAGAAAATGTCCAAGCATGCAATTATCTCCTTCAACTAAACTTACACAATGACAAATATATGGGATCATGTCTTCCACATTGTAAAAAGTATAAATTTGTTGAAGATTTTTTGTCATTTATTTTTAAATTTTCTTTCACTTCTGGGGTAGTTTTCGTTACCTTTCCCCGAGGTAGTCCCCTATGGCGGTCTTGTTAAGTCCCTCTCCCTGGTGTAGGAACTTGGCCACCTCTGCTGGATCATTGGGCAGCAGTCCATTGTCAATCAGGTACTCAATACCCTGAAACAGTCAACACTCATTTCATCAATTATCAAACAATACACAGTGTATAAACGTTTTCTTTTAAACAACTGTTATGAGACTTCCTTGCTAGTTATACTCATTTCACTACTCAGATTTAATTCTGACTTTGTATCTACTTACCAAGTGGTAAGTAAATCATAGTTTGCTAAGTTCATAATTTCTTTTTGCCCCAGCATGCAGTCATTTAGTGATTATGAGGATGAAATAGAAACAAGAGGCCCATGGGCCTAAACGGTCACCTGAGTCTACAGTATTTATTTTTGTTGTTGAAATATGTACCAATTTGAGTAAAAAATAGTATAATGTTAACTTAACTTTGTCAGGACCATGAGCTGATCATTCCTAGACCAATTTTAAGTGAGATCGGCCTATTAGAACTTAGTAGCAAAATAGCGGCCATGGCAGCCAAATTGTATTTCTGATTGACCCGAAAAATAACAACACTTTGTCAGGACCATGATTCGATCATTCCTACAAAGTTTCAGTTCAATCGGCCAAGTAGATCTTTACTTTAAGTTTGAAATAGTTTTCCAAAATGGCAGCCGTGGTGGCCATATTGGATTTCTGATCGACCCGAAAAATAACAACACTTTGTCAGGACCATGAGTCAATCATTCCTACAAAGTTTCAGTTCAATCGGCCTAGCAGAACTTGACTTTAAGTTTGAAATATGTTTTCAAAATGGTGGCCGTGGCGGCCATATTGGATTTATGATTGACCTGAAAAATAACAACACTTTGTCAGGACCATGAGTCGATCATTCCTACAAACTTTAAGTTCAATCGGTCCAGCAGAACTTGACTTTAAGTTTGAAATAGGTTTTCAAAATGGCGGCCGTGGCGGCCATATTGGATTTCTGATCGACCCGAAAAATAACAACACTTTGTCAGGACCATGAGGCGATCATTCCTACCAACTTTCAGTTCAATCGGCCCAGCAGAACTTGACTTTAAGTTTGAAATGTAAAATGTTAACGGACGACGGACGACGGACGACGACAGACGAAAACGGATAGCAATAGGTCACTTGAGCTAAAGCTCAGGTGACCTAAAAATATATATTTAACTGAATGAAAAATGACCCTTGAACATTTTATGATCTTCTACTAGTGGAATCGAAATATTGACCAAGTGGATTTGTTGCAGGAACAAAACTATCAAAGCTCTACAGAAAATAAAAGTATTTTATTTATCAATTAAAATGTTAGAACCATGAATTTGATCAATTCAATATTTTTTTGAATTCAGAATTTTTTGGCTCTTTAACAAATTTAAATGAAGAAAATTTGAGCTATGCTGCAGGAAGTGTAACATTATCAGCATGCATCGCCTGCTGGTGACCTCTTGTCTACATGGAGCAAGTCTAGAGCTATATTTAGCATACTCCTACAAATGTACAATGAACACACAGTCGCAAATTGACAGAAAGAGAAGATGCAGTACACTGATGATGTGTAAAGTGGATCTGTATTTTGTAATAACAGCTCACTTTGTTCCTTGTTCTCTTGTGAATTAAATGCTGGTATAACGTTGGTGTATACATACTGTTATAATTACTACTGTATGTAGCTGTGGAACAAGGCCACAGCCTCCTTTTGAGGATGCCAGGCAATCACACAGCAACACAGGAGAAGCTTTACATTTGGGTGGTACGTTATCACAACCAGGTCTGTCATGGTACACTGGTGTTCAACTAACCATGTAATCTGAAATTACTTATTTACTGGGATTTACGTGGCATTATCAGGAACCATTTCTGACCAACTTTAAGGTTCTAATATTTACAAATTGCCATCCTACACTATTTCCTACGTCTTTAAGTCAATCCTCCAGTAAATCTGTAAGCACAAACTAACAAGTACCAACTTGCTACAGGATTAATAGAGTACCTAAATAACTCTGTACGAGGAGAGGAAGTATAATTAAACGTAATGAAAGGGGGGTTGTAATCAATTTATAAAGCATGAAATGCACTTAAACGTGTGTTTACACAGTAATTAAAGTTAAAAAAAAACACGATAGAGCAAACACTAGAACATTTTGGGATAAAACTGGATTTGACATAGGAGTAGTGGAAGGTAGGGATTGGGATGCATATTTCAATCAAAGTGGAAAGATTTTTTTAAATATTTTTTTAATCTATTCATGTGTATCATTTCTATTTTCAAGTATACCTTTGCTATTATTGGTTGCTCTGACTGCAATATCCAAATAAACCGATATGTACTGATAAAACCTTGAAAAGTTGCCTCAATTGAACACAGGAAGCAGCTTCAAATAAAACACCTTTTAGTTACATTTTTCAGCATGTGATTCCAATGTAGACATACACACGATACAGAAGTGGTGGGCCTAAATGCAATTTTAATGGATTTTGTCAGCAAATTTTAAGTTACCCCCGATAGTAATAAAATGTGTGTATTGGGGAAAGCCTACGTCTGCCTGGCTAGTGTATGGTACTGCCAATCAAACAGGAACACAGGAAGTTTACACATGTCAGCTGGGTTTGATAACAAATTCAGCCCGAACACCATTTCCTTGTGAAACAGTAAACCTACCTTTTTGGGATCCATATTGAATTTCTTCTTTCCAATGGACATCTGCTTTGTTTTGGGGTTGTTTTTGCTGAAAGTGAGAGATGGAAATGATGGAAACAATAAGTATACAATGTAGTATACAGGGGAAGACAAATCTTAAGCTTCTTAACTAGTGTCTTATTCTGTTTGTGTTTGAAAATAAATACAATGTATGTTAAATCATATATTATCCTGGTGGATAGCAAGAACTTGCATTATTCATTATGACGGTTATAAAATCGTACTATTCTAGTGTAGTTTAAATTTAGTGTTTTTCTGCACAAATCAAAGTAAATCTTAGCATAGCCATCTTTACGAAGCAAATAATAAGCTTGTTATGATTCTAAATTTTAAAACACACAGGGCATAATCAACTGTGATTGTTTTTGTTAGTACCGACTGTTCTATTAAGTCACGGTTGATTTCACTTGTCATTTGTGTCAGTTGAGTGTTGGTCAGCGGTTAACTAGGCAAGGGGTGTAACACCCACTCATAGAATGGAACAAAATACCGGGAAATTGTTTGATACCAGAAAGTTGAGGAAGAAAACAAGTAAATTACATCATTTCTAATAGCTACTTCCAATTTATTCATATTCAAGTCATATAAGAAAATTTATTGACTATAACAAACACTTCCAAAACTGACCTAAAATGTGAGCCACTGTATGTACCTCTACACGGTTTATGTTTAAGGTTTACATCACAGACTTTGTGTTTCAAGATCAAAGATCTTCACTCATATTACTATATGTACATTATGTATGAGATATCTCCACTCGGCCCATCAAATTATAGCTATATAACTGTGCCAAATACATGAATACATTTAACTTTGTTCTGACATCAACTATCCCCCCTCCCATTTTCCCCCTATCGATGCACATTAATAAAGTACATATGATATTCCTCCTGTTGATGACAAGTTAGGATCCCCCCACATTTGACAGGTTCTGTATTGTCCAGGAGTATGTACTAATTGTAACACTGAGATGATAGGCTCCTCCCTAGCAGGTTTATCTTTAGACCAACTAATGAGTCAGAATTCAGGGAAAGATATCAATTTCCTTGTGTAACAGGCTTTCATTCATGTTTTTTTTGTGTAGATACAGAATCAAAGGTCACTTCCCCACACTCTGACCTTGGGATCCATTTACATGTAACACTTGGTCTGACAACCAATCGTATGGAATTAACCAGCTTAGATTGCCTATTGCAGCTGGTAGTTACTGGTAACACAAAACAACCTTTCTGTTGCAACTTCAAATGAAGAAACATTGCTTTGGGACGAAGCATGCATTGTATACACAACATTACTTAAGATTTTCTTTTTATCTTTGATTAATCTTACAGGTCACGACTCATTTTGCATAAATTCCATAACATTTGAAAATGTGGTAAGCACTGAACCATGCATGTACCTCAGTTTCCATTTATATCTAATTCTACGGGTATAGATGTTATAAAGTTATTTCAATGATAAAAGCAATCTGCAGCTGGCAGAGAACATAATGGAACTGTTGTTTTAGGAAAAAATAATATGTGATTGTGGCAGAAACTTAGGATTGCCCCCAGCCCCTAGCTGGATAACCTGTGCTAGCCTAAATCTCCACTGTGGCAGTTGTAGCACACTTCTCCCCAGCTCACAGCATGTCAACAGTATCCATCCCCAACCAAGGTCAAAAGTGCAGATCACTTCCGTGTATAATGAAACCCTTACACTACACACCAAGCTTCTCACCTTCTTGTGTAGTTGTACTGAACAAGGATAACAATGAATTTCAAAATTTTAATCATCATTATTTTCTAAAATCAAAATAAAACTTGTCTCATACACAGTTTATGAAAAATGGTTGGAATATAAGACTGAAAAATTGTTAAAGTTAACTGATTAAGTCTTAAATGTTCAAATGTAATTCATTTTGATTGACCTTATTGTATGGATCAAATAACTTTTTTTCTTTTGACTGATCAAAACACTAACACAGCCAATCAAAATTTCTGTTAATGAGGTACAAAAATGTTGTAAATATTACACTCTGATATACATCAAATATATCACACAATATAATGATTAAACAAGACTCTTCAGAATCTCCATCAACAGTTAAAGCCAGTTTACTGAAGAACATCAAGGCATTATTTACATGTGTAATTGCTGTAGTGAAGCCAATGTGAAGCAGTGGAGGGGAAACATCTCTGTCCCTGATTATAACATGTACAGAACAACAAACGCTATAAATTAGACCTGGGGTTTCTCCAGACGATTACCACTATAACCAGCCAGCCCAAACTGCTTCTCTAGTCCTCTTTGAAGACAATATTTCATTCATATTATGTTAGAACAAGCACAGATAACTGGATACATTAGGCTGTTAATCCATACAACACACCGAGCGCAGATTTTGGGCTGTGTAAAACATGCAATCAGTCAAGACACATGTATACAACATATAGCACTTTGCTGAATCTGATGAAGAAAAGCATTGGCAGAAAATAATCTGTGTAGTAGGTATCCAAATTAAAGAATGAAATTTATAAAAGTTACCCAAGCCCAGCCAATTGTAAATTTTAAGCAGTGTAAACCCATGCCCATCCCAGTGTAAAAAGCCCAACTACACTGTAGACAGATTTGCCAGTGTAAACCCATGCTTGGTAATAAACCCAAACTTCTCAAAAAGATTTTACACGAGATACATGTATCTGACGATAGGGTCAAATTTGGATTAAGCTCCCTTCTTATTGTAACTCTCTAAAACAAGACCCAGGACTTAATACCTGGTAAAATATTATGTCCCATCATAAAATGCTGCACAATGACACCTTAAGTCTGTATCATTTTAAGTTGTTTCCAATAATGATTTTAACCTTTACCAAAAATGACATGAATATTTAAATAGCATTGTGGCTTCGTTCTGTTCTGTCCTTTTGCAGTACCCAGTCATTGGAAAAAGGTCACCTGACAACAGTATAAAAATTAAGGGGGAGGGGTATGACTTCATCTATAAAATTGTAATTACCATAAGGTTATGTTTGATATTCCTACGGGTGATATTTATATTAATTTATTTTACAACAATTATAAAATAACTTATTTCAACTTATATTAATCACTCTTGCTGACCTAGATGTTAGCATGCAGGAGTACCGGAGAAAACCCATGTGGTTGGGCAGATAACCCTATACCTTTTCGCATTCGATGGGGTAATCAAACCCAAGCCGCCTTGGTGAAAGGCAAGTGCACTATCCACTGCGGCCTGACCACCCTTAACATATAATCTACTGATGATAAGGTAATTACAAACTTGACATGTCTGAAAAAATATTAAAGCTGTTCATGAAAACTAGGAGTGGTCAATTAAAGTACACTGCCATTTGTAAACATTTGTATCAAGACCCTTTTCAATCTTGACAGCTTTTATATCTGAAGTATACATTTCTGGTCTGTTTACTTTCCTAGATTTACTCTAGTAAATAAATTGTGAGTTAGGGGGTATACAAGTGCAGGGGGCCTTAGAAATTCTAATTTTCTGCTGAGTGATAAGGACAAGGCCTAGAGTTGGCTACAGTCTGCATTAGCAGTCTCATCTAGATTAGTTCCATGGGAACATTCTCTACAGTTAAAATCACTGTTTACATCTGATAAACTAACAGATGACTCTTGGGGACTCAAATCCCACGGCTTAGAGCAGGGAAGAACTAATTAGGAACATACAACTCAGCATACATGGAGTACAGATATAAATCCATTTCTATATCATTTAATTGTATTAGATCATTAGGTAGGCACCAACTGCTGATGTATTTTTGTTGCATTTTGTTCAGGGTTCGACTAATCAATTAACAGTTATGGTCACATGAAAACATGTGTCTAAGGAGACATTGCCGGAGAGATAGAGTAGAGAAGTGAGATATAGCTGTACCGTATATATTCCCGGAGAGATAGAGTAGAGAAGTGAGATATAGCTGTACCGTATATATTCCCGGAGAGATAGAGTAGAGAAGTGAGATATAGCTGTACCGTATATATTCCCGAGTGTTGCAATAAGGGTGGCAGATCAATTTTGGATTTCTTCAATTAATGTTCCTTAAGCAGAAGACTGAGGAAAAACCCTGACTGTGCAGGGGGTCTAGCATTATTAAACAGAATTATACAATGATTGTCATGCAGTCTACTGAAAACTAAACTCACCTATCCTCGGAGACATCAATGGCCTCCATTTCATTGGCAACTTCTGCTATCTCATCTTTAAGCTCCTAAAATTTGAACAACAATGAAAACATTTATATCGTTTGCATTTTGTAATGCGTATTACTGATATCAAATGTGTTATGTAACGGTAAGTGGTTGAGTGAGACACTGAATTGAGTTTTGATACTTGAAGGGAACAGGAAGTTAATAGAAAAACTTTTAAACTCATACTATATGTCGGTCCCGATTACAAGGGAAAACAAATCCGGATGAATCTACATCAAGGTACAAGTTGATGTACAGAACATGCACAATCATGTACAATAAGGAAGTTGAAAGGTCATTTGAAAGCGTTTAAAACACGCTTTAGAAGTTACATACATGTATGTCAGAGTTTTTCAAAATCTGGCAGTACTGAATTTTGGTATATATTGTCTTCAATTGAGAAAGTCACAAGGAGACAGAAAATATGCATCATTAACCTAACCCTATATCTGGAATGGCCTAACATAACTCTGTTGATAAGGAAGTTTGTAGCAGTACAGACTACAGACCTGTCAGTCCTTATCATAACATGTCTATCAGTTTCAAGCTTTAATCCAAATTTGTTGTTTTCTTTTAATCTATGTGCCTCATTACTTTCCCTTTTTTACACAAAATCCTGAAAGGAGTAGCAAAGACAGGTCTACCTCAATTACGATAAATGTGTACATCTGACTGGATAGGGAAACAAGATACACCCTTCAGCCCAGACCTATCACTTACAGGGAAGATACTCAAGGTCACAGGGACAAACCTCCGCAAACTACTACAACATTGCACTGCAACTTTGATGAATTTTATTTTTGTTATGTTTCTATTGTTATTACTAAATGTAGAGACCAAAAAAGCCCTACTTGAAAATAAACAAAGAGTCACACGTCATTTTTTTTAACTTTTTAGTAAGAAAATGAATAACAACTATCTATCTTTGCATATTTTGGAGTCAGATTTAATCTAAAAAGAAGCTGCAGGAGAGAAATCCTGACTCTAGGTATTTTGTTCTCTAAAAGAAGTCATTACAGGAAAAATCAAGGACAGATGAACAGACAACTTGCATTGAACAATGGCACAATCGCAAGCTTATAGGTACTTTGTGTTTAATAGGTGAGCTAGAAAAATAATATGTATCTGAAGTCGAGTAATCATAGTTTTATGTATGATACAAAGTTTATCTTTACCATATGTCAGTAATAATGCAGCATATACGAAATTAATCAGAAATACCACACGTTCATGTGGCAGTGAACAAGTGCATTGCACGCATTAATATATTTTACTAGTGATTAAATTCTAGTGAAATATATCTATGTTCACTTGCAATAAAAAAGAGCAATATGACACATAAGATGAACATATTTGAGATGTATTGTTTTTATTACTTACCAATAATTCATCTTTAAAAACATTTGATATTTTCTGCAAAACATTATTCATCATTACCCTGTATGTTAATTTTGTTCCAAAAAACTGGTACCGAACTACAATGTTTGACATAGCAACATTAAGGAGGGAATAATGACATGGCATTTCAATAGCTTAAAATGGCAGTTAACTGTTTGGAATCCATTCTTGTTTAAATTCCTTGATTTGATCAGTGAATATATTTGAGAGTTCTGGCTACTGGGGTAATACAATATCTAGTAATATCAGTGTGAAATACAGGACCTGGTGTAGAATTACCAAAACACAAACTGTACATGGTTATACGACTATTGTAAGATGTAGGTACACTCAAACCTTGTCATCCTCTCTAGTAAGAGATTATAATGGTGCCATTGTTGTGGGTATATTGTATAAGGAGAATGTCATCCTCTCTAGTAAGAGATTATTGCCATTGTTGTGGGTATATTGTATAAGGAGAATGCCATCCTCTCTAGTAAGAGATTATAATGGTGCCATTGTTGTGGGTATATTGTATAAGGAGAATGTCATCCTCTCTAGTAAGAGATTATAATGCTGCCATTGTTGTGGGTATATTGTATAAGGAGAATGCCATCCTCTCTAGTAAGAGATTATAATGCTGCCATTGTTGTGGGTATATTGTATAAGGAGAATGCCATCCTCTCTAGTAAGAGATTATAATGCTGCCATTGTTGTGGGTATATTGTATAAGGAGAATGTCATCCTCTCTAGTAAGAGATTATAATGCTGCCATTGTTGTGGGTATATTGTATAAGGAGAATGCCATCCTCTCTAGTAAGAGATTATAATGCTGCCATTGTTGTGGGTATATTGTATAAGGAGAATGTCATCCTCTCTAGTAAGAGATTATAATGCTGCCATTGTTGTGGGTATATTGTATAAGGAGAATGCCATCCTCTCTAGTAAGAGATTATAATGCTGCCATTGTTGTGGGTATATTGTATAAGGAGAATGTCATCCTCTCTAGTAAGAGATTATAATGCTGCCATTGTTGTGGGTATATTGTATAAGGAGAATGCCATCCTCTCTAGTAAGAGATTATAATGCTGCCATTGTTGTGGGTATATTGTATAAGGAGAATGTCATCCTCTCTAGTAAGAGATTATAATGCTGCCATTGTTGTGGGTATATTGTATAAGGAGAATGTCATCCTCTCTAGTAAGAGATTATAATGCTGCCATTGTTGTGGGTATATTGTATAAGGAGAATGTCATCCTCTCTAGTAAGAGATTATAATGCTGCCATTGTTGTGGGTATATTGTATAAGGAGAATGTCATCCTCTCTAGTAAGAGATTATAATGCTGCCATTGTTGTGGGTATATTGTATAAGGAGAATGTCATCCTCTCTAGTAAGAGATTATAATGCTGCCATTGTTGTGGGTATATTGTATAAGGAGAATGTCATCCTCTCTAGTAAGAGATTATAATGCTGCCATTGTTGTGGGTATATTGTATAAGGAGAATGTCATCCTCTCTAGTAAGAGATTATAATGCTGCCATTGTTGTGGGTATATTGTATAAGGAGAATGTCATCCTCTCTAGTAAGAGATTATAATGCTGCCATTGTTGTGGGTATATTGTATAAGGAGAATGTCATCCTCTCTAGTAAGAGATTATAATGCTGCCATTGTTGTGGGTATATTGTATAAGGAGAATGTCATCCTCTCTAGTAAGAGATTATAATGCTGCCATTGTTGTGGGTATATTGTATAAGGAGAATGTCATCCTCTCTAGTAAGAGATTATAATGCTGCCATTGTTGTGGGTATATTGTATAAGGAGAATGTCATCCTCTCTAGTAAGAGATTATAATGCTGCCATTGTTGTGGGTATATTGTATAAGGAGAATGTCATCCTCTCTAGTAAGAGATTATAATGCTGCCATTGTTGTGGGTATATTGTATAAGGAGAATGTCATCCTCTCTAGTAAGAGATTATAATGCTGCCATTGTTGTGGGTATATTGTATAAGGAGAATGTCATCCTCTCTAGTAAGAGATTATAATGCTGCCATTGTTGTGGGTATATTGTATAAGGAGAATGTCATCCTCTCTAGTAAGAGATTATAATGCTGCCATTGTTGTGGGTATATTGTATAAGGAGAATGTCATCCTCTCTAGTAAGAGATTATAATGCTGCCATTGTTGTGGGTATATTGTATAAGGAGAATGTCATCCTCTCTAGTAAGAGATTATAATGCTGCCATTGTTGTGGGTATATTGTATAAGGAGAATGTCATCCTCTCTAGTAAGAGATTATAATGCTGCCATTGTTGTGGGTATATTGTATAAGGAGAATGTCATCCTCTCTAGTAAGAGATTATAATGCTGCCATTGTTGTGGGTATATTGTATAAGGAGAATGTCATCCTCTCTAGTAAGAGATTATAATGCTGCCATTGTTGTGGGTATATTGTATAAGGAGAATGCCATCCTCTCTAGTAAGAGATTATAATGGTGCCATTGTTGTGGGTATATTGTATAAGGAGAATGCCATCCTCTCTAGTAAGAGATTATAATGGTGCCATTGTTGGACTTTTAATACAGGTCTAACTGCATCACAATGTGTATACTCTAAATTAGATGGGCAATTGGTGGTGACTTTCAAAGTTACCACTATACCCATCACATATAAAAGTATACACATTTGTATAATAAAACCTCCTGTACACATCTACAACCATTTATATTTAATATTTTAAACTCAATCTAAACATGATTTTCAGGAATTCTACAAATCAACCCAAACTGGATGCACCTGTGGCCACTTGTACCACCCCATTATAATGAAGCTGATATTGATGCAGCTGTATATTAATTTATCACACTGTATCACCTGATACCTTACCCAGTACCCCACTGATAGGCTGTCCAGCAGGATATTATACTGGGTAATGTATCATAAGATTTAGCTCTGATTGACAGACCATTAGATAACGATGACATTCATTGCCCAGATTTGATTAAAGATGCTCCACAAATATCTCCAGATTTTAATTCTTTCAGCTGCTATTTCCATTTTTCAGAGGAAAAAAGTGCATTCCTATCAGTCAAAAACACAGTAGGGAAGGAGGGAAAGTGTCTAGATTTAGCCATGCTACTTATAGATAAGAAATCACATGGGCTGGAATCATCTCAGGAAACAGGGAGAAAGTGATTACCTAGATATATGTATGGGATAAGCTGGTAATCCTACCTGTATCTACCTAGATATATGTATGGGATAAGCTGGTAATCTTACCTGTATCTACCTAGATATATGTATGGGAGGAGCTGGTAATCTTACCTGTATCTACCTAGACATATGTATGGGAGAAGCTGGTAATCTTACCTGTATCTCCTTTAGCAGCTTAGCCTTTCTTTCCCTGATACTTGTAAGCAGTTTCTGTTCATCTGTTGTTAGATCTGTAACAAGCATAAATTCTGTGATATCAAACAAGCAAGCTGTCAGTAGCCAATTTTTCACTCCTGTTAACCTTTCTTCCTATGGTCCGCACAGTTGAGCAGTATAATCCTGTATTAAATCACACAAGCTTGATAAATAAACCCCATTAATGATTGCACACCAGATACCAGAGTCCATCAACAGTATGCGTGGTCACATTGTATTGTAATAAGTATTATTCACGACCAAATTGGTGACATTTACTCCCAGTAACATCCACACTTTCAGTATACACAATACAAACACTGTTAGCAGTCCAAATTTACTCCAAAGAAAGGCACATCAACACATGGTTATTCATGTGAACAAATTGATGACATCCATCCTCATACAGCGGTGCCCCAATACCCTAACTATACATCATTATATACATGTACAATGCCAAAACAAATGACTGTTATGAGATGATTTGACTCCCATATCATCTATGAAAGCAGACATGGGCATGCATAAGTACAGCTGGCACTGATGTTGGTTTTGTATTCCCCCAGCAGGCCAGCAGTTGATTCATCATTGACATCTGGAAGTGCTAACACCAGTCCATGGAGTAGTTGTGTATATGTGCCTATGTGGAGGAGCCTGGGGAAGGAGGAGGATGTAGACCTACAGTAGGAGGCCTGGGAGCCAGCCACTGTAGCAGACTGTGCTGGTGCAGTGTTTTTACCTCTCCCTGCCCACAGTACTACAGCAGGGCCACCATGAGCCCTGCTAATGATATATAACCCTGCCCCTGGCCTGGTGGTTCACTGGGATGAGGCACAACTAGTCACTACTCAGCTGACTCACTTCTGTCTGCTCAACCAATTCCATTTCAAAACAACCCATGCTTGGTCCATTACACTACTTTAATAGTTTAGTAACTTCCTATTCTAGTGTTTAACCATCTATTCATTTATGAGAGTACCGGGCTTAAATTTCATAATGATTTAAATTTACACACTTTAACAAACTGTCAGATAATTTCTGTTAAAGCTAGAAAATGTGTCTTAAGATAGGGTTGCGCCTCTCCCACATCTAAGAATTAAAGCAAGCTCAAGGTCAGGTTACAAAAATGTCATGCAACATGTTGTACCCAAACAAACACATACATAAGCACTGGCATGTCAAGTGGTGTGACCCAAGCTGAACTTCTTTGTCCATTTCTGACCTAAACATAAAAACTGAGCTGAATGAGGTCAAAGAGGTCAAGGTCAAAGGTCAAAGTTACAAAAATGTCATGCAACATGCTATAGTCATAGAGGCAATATCATGTGAACTTGTGTGATCCTGTCTGCAGTTCTTATTTCATAAATGACATAAATGCAAATCTTAACTTTGTCATGGGTGAAGTTAACAACGTTGTGCGACAGACACGCTGTACTTCTGATAAAAGTGTATAAGTATGCAAAGTTGTGTGATCCCTAAGCTGCAATACTTAGTCGACATCTGTATCAACTGGTATAACATTAAACACAAATTACACCAGTTCATGGCAGGGCATAAAAATAGTTCATAAAACAGAAGTTACAGGTCAATAAGAACAATGAAAACCTTTAACATTTCTTCAATTTGAATGCTCTATAATTCTATACTTGCTTTACAATAAATGAAAACTGTACCTTTCACATTCTTATGTTTCAATAAGAACCTATATATTCATCCTATACTATGGCTTCTACTGTATCAGATTGATTTGGTTAGTTTGAGTAACCTGTTTTCCCAGCAGGCTAATATATCAGCAAGTCTCTGGCACAACATACCCAGTTATATTAACACATGGACTAACTATGTACCCAGGTTTTATGGAGGAAGTATGGCTTCTTATAAGTACTATATACTTTATTTAATCCCTTTTCAAAGTCTATATTGTCAGCTTTACTGCAACTTATAGGTTGTTTTTTATTTTTTATTTATGTCAAACAGTCTGCTGGTTATTTGAACAAAAAATACGATAAATCAACATAATACCAGAGAACTTTATATACTGGTACACACATTTGTTAAGTGTTTTCTGTGTTCTGTCATAAAGTATTAGATGATAGTGATGTCACATATAACATCTGTTGAAACATCAATCTTCTTTTACACCAATACATGTGTACAGTTAAAACAACAGAACTATCCCGACTACAGATCCTACCCAAACAAAGAGTACAGTAAACACCTTATAACGTTCACATCAGGTAAAACAAAGCTCATCATTTCTACAAAGTTATTAGGTTTCTACAGACCTAGAATGTTTTGTATCATATCAAAGCTTTTTGTTTGATCAGTAAAATGGAGCTACTGGGCAAATATTATTGTTACATTTGAATACAAACAGTTTAATGGAAGTTCTTTCTATACCACCACAAACTATAGCATCACCATCAGGCAATGTTTACTGCTCTGCCTGAGAGACAATCGGATTCCCTCCAGATGCTGAAGCCCTCATCACCTGTGTCTAATCGTGTAATAATAGGCATCACATTGGATCAAGTGTTTCCTTCTAGTTATAAATAAACCCATTCTGGCACCCCTTCTTGACTTCCTCTAATACATAACACAGACTAGTCCATTTAAAAAGTAGCTAATAGGCTACATTTCAAAATACTGTAACGCAATTTGTAATTTATGGAGGATAAAGGGTCTGTATATTACCCATGTACTGGAGAAATTCAATAAAGCCAAATTGAGAGACATCAAACATTTATATTATCATCTGATGATGGTACTTTGAACCAGTGATGGTGTACATGTCCATCTGTCTTGAAGGTGCATAAAATACAGAATAAAGTTCATAGCACAAACTTATATCATATCCATTAAACGGAATCCATTCATCTTAATTTTGTTCAAAGACCAAATTCACACATTTGTATCAGTCAAGAGGTATTTAGTTCATTCATATTTACAAAGCACACACATTTTAGTGATCCATTTGAAAGCTTTACATAAAACTAAACTTGTCAGTTTCCTACTGATTTGTAATCTGACCTATGGATTGAATTAATAATTTAAATATAACATATATTCAATTCTCCCAAAATTCAGCATTTCAACAAGACATAACTTGCCTCAATCAAGGAAATGGCATTAGTCAACACCTTACTAGAGTGACTAGAAAATGGCATTACTTGTTATAAACTATGAGATAAGTCAACACCTTACTACAGTGACTAGAAAATAGCATTACTTGTTATAAACTATAATGAGATAAGTCAACACCTTACTACAGTGACTAGAAAATGGCATTACTTGTTATAAACTATAAGATAAGTCAACACCTTACTAGAGTGACTAGAAAATGGCATTACTTGTTATAAACTATAATGAGATAAGTCAACACCTTACTACAGTGACTAGAAAATGGCATTACTTGTTATAAACTATGAGATAAGTCAACACCTTACTAGAGTGACTAGAAAATGGCATTACTTGTTATAAACTATAATGAGATAAGTCAACACCTTACTACAGTGACTAGAAAATGGCATTACTTGTTATAAACTATGAGATAAGTCAACACCTTACTAGAGTGACTAGAAAATGGCATTACTTGTTATAAACTATAATGAGATAAGTCAACACCTTACTACAGTGACTAGAAAATGGCATTACTTGTTATAAACTATGAGATAAGTCAACACCTTACTAGAGTGACTAGAAAATGGCATTACTTGTTATAAACTATAATGAGATAAGTCAACACCTTACTACAGTGACTAGAAAATGGCATTACTTGTTATAAACTATGAGATAAGTCAACACCTTACTAGAGTGACTAGAAAATGGCATTACTTGTTATAAACTATAATGAGATAAGTCAACACCTTACTACAGTGACTAGAAAATGGCATTACTTGTTATAAACTATGAGATAAGTCAACACCTTACTAGAGTGACTAGAAAATGGCATTACTTGTTATAAACTATAATGAGATAAGTCAACACCTTACTACAGTGACTAGAAAATGGCATTACTTGTTATAAACTATGAGATAAGTCAACACCTTACTAGAGTGACTAGAAAATGGCATTACTTGTTATAAACTATAATGAGATAAGTCAACACCTTACTACAGTGACTAGAAAATGGCATTACTTGTTATAAACTATGAGATAAGTCAACACCTTACTAGAGTGACTAGAAAATGGCATTACTTGTTATAAACTATAATGAGATAAGTCAACACCTTACTACAGTGACTAGAAAATGGCATTACTTGTTATAAACTATAATGAGATAAGTCAACACAGGGTTATAATTCCAATCAAGTTATCAACCTGTAATATTCAAAGTATCATTTGCCATTACAAGTTTTGCCCCCCCCCCCCCCCCCTTCACCAGGGGTAAACATGAGACCCTAGGGTCTTAAAATTCACAATTTAGGTAGAGCACCTTAAAACCCTTCCATCTATGAAGAGTAGTATTTGATTCTACCATATCTGGGTCTAGAGAAGAAGATTTTGAAATTTCAGTCAATTCAACCCTTTTTGGCCCCACCCATCAGCTCCTGGGGGTCAGTCAGGGCTCATATGTGCATACTATCAAACTGCTATCCAATACTGATAAGGCTAACTCAAATTGAATTACTTCCAATGGAAATTAAACAAATGCTGGTCCAAAATGTGATTTCCCTATATAAACTATAGTAAAGTTTACCCTTTCCTCAGGGGGAAACAACACCCCAGGGTCAAGAAATTCACAATTTTGGTAAAGCACCTAAGACCCCTTCTATGAAAAGTATTTGATTCTACCATATCTGGGTGTTGAGAAGAAGATTTTTGAAATTTTAGTCAATTTTATTCTTTTTGGCCCCTCCCCTCAGGCCCCTTAGGGCTGGGGACCAAATCAGCCATTATTTTTGTTGACCCTTTGGCCATGGAAGGTTACTGCAAAATTTCATTGAAATTGGTTCAGGGGTTTTGGAGAAGAAGTAGAAAATGTAAATTGTTTACGGACGCACGACGACGGACAAAAGGCGATCGCAATAGGTCA